TTGGCTGGTAAAAGACCCTGCAGTTTTCATTTTAGGAAAATGGATATCCAGTCTCTATGTTTTTTCTCCCCTCAGATCTCTTTTGGAAGAAAACAAATGTTTGCTTAATGGAAATAGAAACTGGAGAGGTTTGAAACACAAAGACCATATTGCCTTCTTAGCACCTGGTTTATAGAAGTCTGTGGATGACAGTGAAAACCCAAAATCCATTTGCAGGATCTTCATGCGAATCAAGCCTCCGGTTAATCCCTTCTGACCATTGGCCAGGGCTGTGAATAGCTTTGCTATCAGACAGTGCATTGGAAAGTGGATTAATGCAGACCTAGTTTGGTTAAAATTTAACACTTTATCATCAGTCCTTCTCTTCGATCCATTCTAAATTTGTTCTAATTATTATTTTCTGCTCTTTTTCTGATCTCTTTTTGATTGAGGCTTGAGATAGTTTATTGTGTCAGCCTGGCTGATAAACGCAGGTGGGATTGACTGAGGGACGGAGAGGTGGATGGCTTGGTGAGCCTTGCCTTTCTTGTCTTTCACTCTGTGATCATCGGACCAGTGTGTGGCTGCCTTGCTTGTTCTGTGCTTCAATTTAAAGGCTATACTGCCTGTGGGCCGCCTAGCCTGTGGACTGTGTTGCTGTAAGTTGAGGTCCCTTTAAGACTTCTCTGGAGCTGGGGACTGGCGATTGGTGACCTGCCTTGTGATTGGCTGCTGTGCTGACATAGCCTAGCTCTCTCTACAAATAGAGGAAGATCTGGCATCAGATAGAGACTTGAAGGACTGCTAGTCTCTCAACTTTCTCTCACTAAGCCATTTATAGTGCTTCTAATTTAACTGTTTATTTCTTGTATATTTATCTGTATATGATTTAACAGTTCATTTCTTGTTATATATCTTAATTATCTTTATAAATAAATATATTATATTATCAGGAATTTGATTTTATCTCACTAGAGAACCCTGTCTAACACAGGCTTTTCTCTATTTGGGTATTATTGTTTTGGTGTTTGTTTTTTTGGGGGAGGTGGCGGGAAATATGTTTTTCTTTTTTTGAAATCCAGGATAGGTAAATCTATAGAGACAGTAACTGGAGTAATAGTTTCTTAGGGTTATGGCAGGGGCCGTTGTAGGGAAATGGGGAGCTAGTGATAATAATGAGTGGAAGGATAAAGAAAATGTTCTAAAACTGATTGTGGTGGTGGTTACACAATTATTTTTAATACATTTAAACCACTGAATGTGTTCTTTGTGAATTATATGTCACTAAAACTGCTAAAAGCCAACCAACCGAAAAAACAAAACAAAACCCTATTGCTTTTGAGTTCATTTTGACTCATAATGACCCTCTAGGATAGAGTAGAACTGACTCTCAGTGTGCCCGAGGCTGTCATGGCTCTGGAAGCAGACTGCCTGCTCCATCTTTCTCCCTCAGAGTGATTAGGGAGTTGGAACCATCAACCTCGTGGTTAGCACCCTAGCACTTTAACCATAGTCCTTTCAGCACTTCTTGAGGTTTTCCAGAAACCACAATAATGTGAAAGCAGAGTGACCCCTGAAGGAGCTTCCGGGGAGTCAGTCACAGAGATGGAGGAGGGCTAGTGACTAGCTCACCTCTGCAAACACTCCTGAGGGAGGAGAGGGCGTGTTCAGTGTGGGCTGATCTCTGGACAGCAGGGGCCCTTTAACACTCAGAGAATCCCATCAGGTGGTTTCTCTTTCCGATTGTTTAGATTGCTCTTGCTGAAAACAAGAATGAACCAGAGCAAGTGATAGAAGATGTGAGTATGAATCTGGTCAGGCAACTGCCGTGTTTCTGGAGTTGATTTCCTGAGATGAGGTTTCCTTTGTCTGCGATTTTGAAAGTCAAGCAATGCTGTTTGTTCCTTTGACAGCCAGGGGTTCTCATTCCTAACAACAGACTAGAAACCCAGCCTCTGGAAACTGGAGTCTCACCCTGGCTTTTCAGCTCTAGTTTTGAAAAATGTAAGTTCCAAATGCAACGGACTTTAACTTGCTTGATAGTACATAATATAACACCTGCGGAAAGAGAAGGAGCTCAATAAAATAAGTCCAAGGAGGCTGGCAGACTTCAGAAAAGGGGGAAACCATCTCTGGTTCTCCAGATAGACCAGGTGTTCTGTGTGAGAGAATGGGGTTGGAAATTATACTTTGGAATCAGGTCTCAGCACTTAACCAGTAACTATGCCTTACACAAGCAGTCGGGAGATGAAAGCTGAATCACAAGACCTAATACTGTTTTGAGAAACATACCTCAAGGGCAATTAAAGATCCAGCATGCTCCACTGATATCAAAAGGAAATAGAGCTAGGGCAGTGGTTCTCTACTGGGGTGATTTCATTTTCCAGGGGACATTTGGCAATGTCTGGAAACATGTTTGGTTGTCACACTTGAAGGGGAAGTTTCTTTTGGCACCTAGTGGTTAGAGGCCTGAGGCCGAGCATCCTCCTATGTCAGAGAGAGCCCCAAGAACCAAGCGCTCCCCACCCCCAGAGAGCAGTAGTGCTGAGGCTCAGCAGTGGCCTTGAGGAACAACAGGTTTTCTTGACAAATGAGATCATAGGAAGCAGCCAGATCTGTCATCACAACACAAATATGTAATTTTCGTGTTTCTCTTTGAATGTCCCACCAGGGAAAAAGATAAAGTTCCTAGGACAACGCCTATGTAGAACAGATTACACGAGATCCCCTTGAACACTACCACGTGGTTTGTTTTCAGGCTCTGTTTCAAGACTCACTGTATTGGCTTCATTGCAGAATGATGCTTCCCATCCCACCCCCAAATCAGAAACAATATGCATTTTAAACAGTATTTCTCTACTTGAATCACAGATCTTTTCTTCACACTCTGCACAACCTCAGTTTTAACAAAAGACTAAAAGATGCTATGTGTTATTTGGCTAGTGCACTGATTTTCCTAATAACCATGAAAGGTTGACGAAGCAGGAGATCTTACTCCTATTTTACAGTTGAAGAAAAGGACTCTCAGAGCGGCTGACTGACTTCTTTAAGAATGTTTAGTTACTTAGTAGGTTGAGCTGCTAGGACTGAAACCCAGAGCCTCTGTTCATTTTGTTGTGTTCCACATAGCTCTACTCTAGATTGTCAGCATCATTTGTATCTAACCTACCATAATATATGCGTATAAAGCAAACAGTGCTGGACACCTTGTGCCTTTTCCTTCTGCTAAGGACACACTAAGAAATGTGGGCAGCAATTTGACAGAAGGGAGACATTTTGAACTCAAGGAAAAAGCTTAGCAAGAGGCCAGAAGGATTTCTGATCCTTATTTCACCAAATCATCAAACGTCTTTAATCTTAATTTGGCCACCTGTGCTAAATTCATGTGGTTGTGACGTGACTTGAAGTGTGGAAAATGTTTTAAAAACTTTTAATAGTCTATGTAAGTTTTTAGCTTTGTTTTTTAATTAATTTGATTAACCTCCTCAAAATGTGGTTTAATATGCAAACTACTGTCAAATATTGTCGATCACAGGCCAGCAGTCAATGGTCTGGTGTTTGAAAGGACTTTATAACTTCTTAGTAGGTTTATAACTTTAATTTAGAAATTGAAGCTTCTTATCAATCAAAAAGAAGGCAGAGAGAAAAAAATTAGTTTATGATCCAAAGAGAAAATTGCCAAAATTCAAAGAAGAGACATATTAGACTCAACAATAAGAGCAAGGCAACAGAGAGTCTTTACGTACAGGAGACCATCTTAGAACTCCAAGCCCACTGCCACCCAGTTGATTCTGGTTTACAGAGGACAGCTCCTTAGGTAAATCTTTATGGGAACAGACAACCTCATCTTTCTCTCCCTGACTTTGGGATTAGAAGCCCAATGGCTTAACCTAACCTATTGTGAGGAAAAGAAGGATTTCTCTTAAATTGTCTCCCCAAAATATATGCCAGACTTAGCTTGAGAATGACTGTTCATTAGGCAGCGAAAATAGGTCAGAGGTTATTCTCCTTAACATCAGCCATCTAGAGCGGCCAGACTGTATAGTCTGACTTACCCCACATAGGGCCCATTCCTTTCTGTTATTGTTCCCTGGAAGCAGTGCCCAAAGGCAAGCCCGGGACCACTCTAAGATGACTAGGTCATCCCCCTCCTATTGCTTGTATTGCCTATGTTGCAATCCCTCCCTATGACGCAGGTTGTTGTGAATTGTATTGCCCCTCTCTGTGATGCATGATGCTGTGATGTATCCCCCTAAAGTGATATGATGTGTAGTTAGCAATAAATAAGGAGGCTCTCTGGTGGTCGTGAGGGGCTGCTCCCATGTAGGTGGCTGGCCGAGGGTGGCTGGCAGAGGGCAGCTGAGGAGGGAGGGCTGCTTCCCGTG